TTTACCTTTGCCTTTTCCTTTAGTTTTGTCACACGTTTTTTTGGTCTTTGCCAGTTTTTCTTCATACTCTTTTTTTAATGAGTCTTTTTCAGTTGTGTCGGTTAACACAGTGGATTTGCGTTTACGACGACTGTTGGTAGATTGTTTTCGAGCTGCTGCTTTAGGAAAGGGTCTTATTTTTGAAGGTGAAAAATTTTCAAATTTACTTTGTATATCAGATGGACCTGGTATCGATAATTCTATTTCATTTCCTTTTTGAAAACTTGCCAAATCTGGAGTCAGTGATGTAGTCAAACATTCTGTATCTTGCGAACTAACGGGATTTGGACAAGGTTAAACAGGAATATTTTTAGTAGTGTCAGGCATTGGATTTGTTACTGTTTCTATTGCCTGTATGATTTCAGTGGTGCTTATGTTCAGTTGAGGTGCAGAATCTAACAATTCTGGATTTTCCAGGTCTAGTGTCAAATTGGAGATGTTCTGCGAAGTCATGGGAAAATCTGTTTCTGGATTAGGGCGATCAGTGACATAAGAAGGTGTCACTGTCTTGAAAAATGTCAGGATTGAAGGGCCATATCCCTGTTGATTTGAATCCACTCATGATATTTGCAGGATTTAGGGCCAAAGGCAGTGAATCTTTCACCACGGCAGGAAGATCATGAATCGTCATGGTTTTTCCTGGATGATTATAGATCCAGGCTGTCTGTGTTCGATTAAGGTGGTTTTTAAAAGGACCATAAACTCCTACATCTAATGGTTGTAAATTGTGAGAGCAGTGCGGTGGAAATGACAGCATGATTATGTTATTTATTTTGGCTTTCTCAACGACATGAAAATTTATATGGGAGCTGTAGTTATCCAAAAGGAGCAGAACGGGCTATTCAGCAGAAGGCCTGACATGTTGAATGAAATGATCCATAAATTTTAAAAATTCTACTTCTGTCATCCATCCCGAAGAATTGCCCGCTCCAATCGCATCTACTGGTCCAGTACGAAGAAAAAGATCCGTGTATCTCATTCTGGGAAACACGAACATCGGCGGAACTGAATTCCCAGCAGCATTTATGGTACATGCAAGAGTAATAAGTGTCCCTCTTTCGGCTTATGTGATCGCACCGACCTGGTTTTGACCCCGGACAGCAACTACTTTTTTAGGCTTCTGTACCGTCGTGACACCTGTTTCGTCAACGTTCCATATTCTTGAAGCAGTGAATTCATATTTTTGGAACAAGCCTTGCAGTTTGTCAAAAAAATCTTTAACGTTGGTTTTGTTGAATGATGTTGCTCTACTCAAAGATGTAGCTTCTGGTGTTCGTAGAGATAGTTGAGGATTTCTATCCATAAAACTTTTAAACCAGTCCGGCCCAGCCGTATTATTTTTATGCCAGCTGGGGGGAATATTTTTTAAGTCGAGTTTTAGAGCACATTGATAAGCTAGTTTTCGTACTTCTGTTGGTAGTAAAGCAAAATATATTTCTGAACTTTTGAGTATATAAGAAGCTGTGGGAACACTCGGTATAGCGAAAAACATCATTGTTGTGTATCAATTAAACGTCTACATTTGTGCTGACTTAGTTAGGTCGCGACACACTGCGACTAACTAGGTCAACGACAAATACACACACAGAGGTATTGTGCTGAAATGTTCCTCACCATATAAAACCATGTAAATAATTTAGTATAAATAGCCTGTAAATATTTCAATAAAATTAGTCTAACACCAGGCTCACTCTTATTCTGATGCTGATAAAGTGTCAACCCTTGGGATCCTCAAAGATGCAGATAATGTGTCCAACGGTAGTACTAAATCGGTTCTTCTCAGAACCACAACTTTGATAGTCACATCTCTCATCATATACGACTACAGAGAGTGGCTACAGTGGTGACCCCGATTACGAACAGTGATAAACTACATTGNTAAGTTTAGTAATAATTTAATAGTGTTTTTAAGTTTTTTAATAATCAGTGTAAATAAATAGTTTTAGTACTGATAACGACTAAAACTTCGAAGTTAATTTTGTTAAACCGACATACATTACAATATTTTTCAAAACGTTTAATACATATATGGGACTGGTTCTGCGTAGTACAAATATGTAATTCTAACATAAAGAAAAGGAAGGATATTAGTAAATGTAATAAAATAAGAGGGGTATGGGTCTTTATGTCAGATAAAATTAGTAATGTTGTAATATTAATTAGAAGGATAGGATACCAAATCTTATTTAATGTTGTTTTATAATGTGTATATTGTAATTTACGTATTTTTATATTGAGGTGGATTGATTAAGTTAAATAATAAGTAAACAAATGTGGAATAATTTATATTTTAAAAAAGATATATATGTGTACTGTATACAACTAGAGATTAAAGCTTCACGGTAACAGGTTATCCCTTGCGCTATAAACTAAACAGTGTTTCGTATAACTTTTATGGTTAGTTTCTACATATTATATCTAATTTTACCAAAAACAGCATTCTCGCTTATCATATATACAATGTAGACTACATTCTGTCTCGAATCTGCCTGCAGTGCCCATGGGTTTGTAACCATTCATGACAACCGCTGCTCATGTGACAGCTTTAGCGGAACGTCTGTTCCAAGGTGAAATATGGTCGCTTACATAAGTTAGTGTAAAGAAAGGTAGAAAAGAAGTAAAAGTTAGAAAGTGAAGTGAGAAATGGAAAATAGAACTAGATCCGTAAAATTAAATATATGTATTACCTACAACAAAATGGAAGTAACTAAAATTACACAAGGAAGGTAAATAAATACAAAAAATGGTATTTATACAAAGCTTATTACACAAAAAGCATAAATTATTGCAATAATGTCAAAAGTGTAAAATAAAACTTGTAAAATAATGGAAACGGATTGAACTTTATTCGCAGTCGTAGCATAAACGGTTTTAAAATTTCAGAGGTGGTACATGCTTGGAAACTGATTGTGGGTAAAGATGGGAGAAGGAAAAAATACTTGTACTAAAGCACTACGTCAACATTTCTTCTTTATTAATTAAATTACATTTACTTTCTAACTTAAAAATCCTTAAAAGTATATCTCATATCAGTCGCTTTCTCCTATTTTCAGCCGCTGGCAAGTAGGCTTTTTCGGGTGTGTCTTCCTTAAGTTTTTTCGGTAATCGAGCTATTTTCCCTTCATTTGAAAAGTCGGCTGAATAAATTTCTTCACCATTTTCATTGTATTCAATATTCCAGGGAGTGTATGGCGGAACTGTAAAATGGTCTCCTTCAGGATGAAATCCGTCTTTATCGGCGGTATATTTTACTTTGTAATCCACTCCATCAGGTCCTCTGTAGGAAAAGAATCCCGTCAAAACATAATGGTCCCCACGACCGTTCGCATTTGTGTATGTTGCCTCTTCATTTCTTTCTATGCCATTACTTGTTTGGTAACTAAAAAAAATCATATTTAAGTACTTATTTTTAAATCGATCTCTTCAAAAACTAAAATAATTTTGCCTATAGCTTACTTATTCGCTCACATTTTTTAAGTAAAGTCTATAATTATCGGTACTTAACGTCTTAGCGTTATAGAACTAGTAAGTACCGTTACCGTTGGTTAAATAAATTTCCATCTCCAAAATAACGTCATCTGATTGGTCAAGGTTTACTGCGTTACTCAAAAGACAGATTGATTGATATAATTTGCTTTGTCTAAGACCACTATAGATACTTTATTTCTGTGATTGCTTAAGCAAGTGAATCAAAATAATTGATATTTTTAAGAAAGATAAAATTAGACTGTTAATAAGCAAAACATACAAATATAAGGAAATGCATAACGACAACACTGTGTTTTCTTCCTTGCCGTAACCTAATGATTTTAATATAGAAAATACCACATCCGCCGCAAAAAGGGCAGACTAGTAGCGTTCAATCCATGCATTCATATCATTCGGCCAGAGTTGCTTCCTGCAAGCCACATTCGGGCAAGAAGATCATACTGTTATGTTTAGACGCGCGAATGGTTTTGACAGCACAGTTTACTATATTAATCGCGTAGTAGTTTATTTCTTCTCACCGAGGCCCATAAGTGTTGCATTAAGTGTGTGCAGACATATAAAAATAATTTTGCATTTTATAGCAGTAATAAAAATATTTTTCTGTATTCTGAATGTTTTTTATAGAAACTGAAAGTTCTTTATAAAAATATTATTTCGCGTGTAGTTTTTAAACATACTATCCCCAACTGTTTTGAAAATAATAAATAATTGTTGGGTTATAATATATTGCAAAAGATCATCGTCGTTTCGCATGCTTTA